TTTCATATATAGAGAGAACCGCTTATTAAATTGCAACAAAAGTCTGATTCTATGTTATGGTCTGGTAAAGATGAAAAATCTGTACTATGTCTTGGAGAACTCAGAAAAGTCATTATTTTAAATGTTTTCAGTAATGGATGGTGAATTTTCGACAAGGACGGACTTAGGAATCTGTATGTGGGGGGCGCAACGGTGGTCGCAGCATTCATGTTTGGGAAGATATCTCTTGGTAGGAAGAAGGAGAAGAACGGGGGAGATGACCGTCTGCTTCGGTAACCACTTGAGAAAGTGCTACCAAGTCTAGCGATTTTTCTTGATGTACCGATTTTACTGGTATTCTATCGAAATGGAACTACAGATTTTATTGCGACATTTACCGAAAATTTTCTGAAATTCTTAATTATTTTTGAGATTTTTCAAGGAAACACAAAAATAGAGCCATTAGGCACCACAACTTCAATTATCGATTAGTAAAGCTTGCTGCAACCCTTGACTCTTTAGTTCTTCAAAAAGCAGCATTTCAAGCATTTGATGTTAGTCCCCCTCCGCGTTCTCCATTTTTTTACACCGACGCAGTCGCGCAGGCAGAAGCCTAAAAGCCAGTGCACCGCGGCTGCTATCAGGATCCCAAAGAAAATTTGTTAATCCGATTTTTGAATTCCCTAAGGTTAGTAGAACTGGGAAAAGCCTCTTGTAAATTGTTCCACAATCTCTACTCCCTAGGGACAAAAGACCGGTCGTAAAGGCCAGTTCTGGATGTAGGAAGTTCGACACAGTTAGGATAGGAGACCGAAGTCAGGCGAGTCTGTTTGGCAGGCACATTGCGCTGTGGTATCATGAAGGAGAGCTCTGAGGAGCAAAGCCCATTGGTGTAGCGGTAGAAGAGATCACCCATAGCCCGCCGGCCGGAAAGAGTTCCGAGATTGTCTCTTAGAAAAGAGTCATCGATCAGTCGAACAGCATCGAGCATGGAGAATGTAGTTCTGGAGGCAGCAATACTCGAGGCGAGTTCTTATCCGGGCCTGAAAACGTCATGTGGAGAAAAGTATTTTTCAGCCCTAAACAGACAGCTTAGCCTTTGCCAAAAGCTGCCGCTATTGACGAGATGTGTTCGTGCCAAGTCAAGTTCTCGGTGATCTGGACTCAGACCAGCCGGAATAAACGGCTCTTTGGCAGAACTTGGCCAACCATCGAAACCGGATGCACGCTAGGAAGCATTAAGCTGTACAAGATTGTTGCTTCCCCAAGCAGTGATAACCTCCTGGTCTGCCATCAGAGAGGAAGTCGCTACTAGTCTTATTTCTCCCAGTTCACCGGCAGAGATCGCCTTGTCACTCTGAATTCCTGCGTGTAGAGTGCTGTCATCAGCAGAGCTGTGGATTGGATTGATCTTACAGGAAAGAAGGTCGTTTATATGTAAGAGGGACAGTGTCGAAGCCAATACCGTTCCCTGGGGAACACCCGCTTTGACGTTGTGAGATGGAGAAGAGAAACCGTCAATTACGACGGATATCTTGCGGCCAGAGAGCAAGTCAGCTCCAATCCACAAAGCTTCTCTACGAGGCCATAAGATGGAAGTTTGCACAAGAGGACAGCATGCTACAGCATTTTTGAAATAGTAGCATTTCAACATCTGATGCTCCCCTCTCCCCGCTATTCAGTTTCAAAACCGAGTTGACCTTAGACTCGTATCGTCAGTCGTTCCTACAATTGTAGGGCGCTTTTATCGCCTCCTTGATTGTCATAGTTTTCTACTTCTCCGTGTCAGCGCTCTATTTTGAGGTTATGTCACAAACATCTATTTGCATCAAATTGTGCTTGCATTTGAGTTATATCATGTTTTATCGGCCTGAAATTTCCTACAATTTAAAAAGAAAACATACAGGGTTTGTCCGGAAAGTAATAGGACTGAGTCGATTTAAAAAAAAATATTGAGCCAATCGTTACAATTCTTTAAAAACTTTCAAAATAGGCTCCTTCTGCGTCGATGTAGCGCTGTCAGCGTGATTTCCAAGCATTGAAGGCGTCACGGAAGGCATTCTCCGGAATAGCCTTGAGAGCCGCGGTGCATGCTGCTTGGATCCCCTCTGTCGTCTCAAAATGCTTGCCTTTCATCGGCCTTTTCAGGCGAAGAAACAAAAAAAAGTCCGGGGGGGGGGCACATCTGGACTGTAGGGCGGCTGCGGAAGCGTTGGGATGCCGGCTTTGGTCAGGTAGCTGTTCACAAGAAAGGCGGTGTGAGCCGGGGCGTTCTCGTGGTGCAACTTCCAGTCGGCTGGGATGTCGTGTCGGACCCGACTGACCCTTCGTTTGAGTCTCCTGAGCACTTCCACGTAAAACTTGGCGTTGACGGTTTGTCCAGGAGGAACAAATTCATGGTGGACGATGCCTTGGATGTCAAAAAAGGCAATGACAATCGTTTTCACTTTGAATTTGCTCATTCTTCCCTTTTTTGGGCGAGGAGACGCCGTCATGTGCCACTCGGAAGATTGCCTCTTTGTCTCGGGATCATACTCAAAGATTCACGACTCGTCACCTGTGATTATGTTATTCAAAAATTGGGGGTCACTTTCACACATGTTCAAATTTTCTTGGCACTTCCACTCGCCGCAATTTCTGGTCGTCAGTGAGCACTTTTGGGAACATCTTCGCGCACACCTTGCGCATATTCAAATTCTGTGTCACAATGTCATGAACCACAGATTTTGGTAAATTTAACATCTGGGCAATTAAACGAATACTTAGTCGACGGTCTGAGTTCAAAACTTTGCGCACACGAGTCACATTATCGGTGTTTGTCGAAGGTCTTCCAGAGACCTCTTACCGGCCCTCCAAAAAGGCCTGGTGTCACCGAAACACACCACTTGTTGCTAAAGCAACACCTGGGTAAGCCTGCTTGATCATATCAATCGTCTCTGCCGCAGATTTACCGAGTGTCACACAGAATTTAATCGCGTACCTCTGCTCTAACGAACGCTGCATTTTCGGCTTGCACCATCCACAGAAACACGTCGCGCGAAAATGCCTGTTCTGACTCTCCAAGTGCTCGGAGACAACTAACCAGCCGCTCATTCGTTAGCTAGGAACGCCCTCTACCGAATCCTGACGCTGACACGGGACAAGTGTAATCTAGACATTTTTTAAGGAGAGAAACGAGTATGACAATCAAGGAGGCCAATAAACGCGCCCTACAATTGTAGGGACGACTGACGATACGGGCCTTAGTCAAGGTGCCCCCTTCTCAATTTTCAATCATTGGTAGATGTTTGCAGCACTGTCTACCGAAAAATTCTACAGATGGACTATACCTAGCAACACTGACTTGAACAGCACCTCTGAGAGCAAATGCCCTTGGAACTATCAAAGAGCGGCGGATAGGATATGTCTAGGGGACGCACGTCTCACGATTCGGATCTAGTAAGATCATTTTTACATTTAAATACAGCAATAAATACCATTTTCTTGAAAACAAAATTGACAGAGCTGGGCCTCTAGGCGGAGGCGCCCCTCCAGCCTCCCCCTAAATCCGCCAATGATTTCCGACATGGCCAGATTCATAAAGCAAAGATGTGTCCCACGCCAAAAGACACGAAAAATATCGTAATCGTGAAAAAAAAAATTAAATCGATATATTCAATCCATTGGCGACAGAATTTTAATCAAAAATGCTCAAATTACATAGTTGACAAACTGCGCACCATACTTTTCGACAAACACTTGTTGAAAAGTAGGGTAATACGGACAAATTAGGGAATTACTATACGATTGTTAAGAAATGTCTCAAAAGAATGTTACTTCTAATACGGTTTCGTAGAAGAGACGCTAGAACCTGTCAATGTTCACCAAAGAAAAAATCCGGCAACTTCTTACAGAAGATAACTAAATATCCTGAAATGTTTCTAAAGTTGCAGTAGGTACATATCTGTACCCCAGAGCCAGATTAGGTTAATTACATTTTTTCCAAAAATGAGTTCACTATGTTAAGCCTTTGATAATATAGTGAATTTTCATTTGCTACTTGCAGCGTCCATCTATCTGTAATGATAAGGAAGTTACGACTTTTTAACTCATGTCAAGTCGCATACAACAATACAAGAAAAATATTTCAAATTCAATTATCTCAAAACTACTTATTTGGACTTAACCTAGTCTGGCTCTAAGGTACAGAATTATGTTCCATGTTCTTAATGCATAACATCTAATAGGCCTATAAATTATCCCATGGACGTTCATCTCAATTTCCTTTCAGCATCTCGTACTATTGAATGGGACTGAATGAATGGAATGCCTTTCTCGACACCGTGAAAGCAAAATGTGATATATAAGTTGCGTAGGATGTTTGATTCAAGCTTTTCGTATGTCTTCATTTTCATGCACTGATTCGCGCAAAAAGGCATAACATAATACTTAACAACGCTGCCATATACTATACAGGGTGTCCCCGGAATCGACGTCAAGCCGGAAACGGGGAGTAGGCCAAATTGTAATAGTTAGCAGAGGAATATAAAAACAACTATGTCATGTACTTTTCAAAGGCTATAACAACACAGATAGTAACGCCACTTCTTTTAATTCATGATTGTGTAGTGCAGTGGTTCCTAACCTGGGGGTAATTACCCCCGCAGGGGTAAAACGGAGATTCTAAGGGGGTAACACGGGATGGCACGAAATAGTATTAAAATAGCAATAAACAAAATAATAGTACGGTAAACGGTAGCACGGCGCTCTCATGCGCGCGGCTGACGGCGACGGCGGCGGGTGAGCTGCGGTGTGGGAGGGGTGAAGCATGACTAGCGGCGGGCCGGACAGGCGGCGATGTTCATTTTGTTTACCTAAGCTTAGGAAGAACACGCATTTTATTTGTTCCGCCGCGCATTGCAGAAATCGTATTTTTAAACGGTTTAAATTCAAAGGTAAGCAGTGTTTGTTAATATCGTCACGTTAATATTGTCACGAGTGATTTGTTTACGTAGGTATGTATTAGTTGATTTTTGTTTTAGGTACCTACAGGTGTTTTTGACATGGCTTCTACTTCATCTGGCAAAAAGCGCACTTATAAAGAAGCATTTCTACAATGGGGTTTCACAAGCATCGTAGACAAAAATATAGAAAAGCCTCAGTGTGTTTTATGTAATAAAGTGCTTAATCCAGAAAGCATGAAACCGAGCAAATTAAAAGAACATTTTGCTAAAGTTCACAAGGAGTTCGCAGATAAAAATATAGATTTTTTTAAGAAAAAGGAGAGGATTCTGAAGTCTTCCCGCATGGATTCAACAGGCAATATACAGAAAGCAAATGAATCATGCCTTCAAGCTTCATACAAAATTGCTTATCGCATCGCACGTAATAAAAAACCACACACTATAGGAGAGGACCTCATCAAACCTTGCTTGTTAGATGCAGTAGCACTTGTTATTGGTGAGCAACATGTGGCTAAGATTAAACAAATCTCACTCTCAAACACTACTATTCAAAGTCGCATATGTGAAATGAGTGCCGATATTCTAGCAACCGTTATTTCTGAAATAAAGGAAAGTCATATGTTTGCGCTGCAGTTGGACGAGTCCACAGATGTTGCTTCGTGTTCACAATTATTGGTGTTTACACGATACATTAAAGATGATGATGTAAAGGAGGAATATTTGTTCTGCAAGTCTTTGCCCACTACTACTCGCGGCGAAGACGTATTTCAAACGCTAAAAGAGTTTATTGAGGAAAATGGCCTAGACTGGTTAAAGCTGATTGGTACTTGGCCTTCCATGATGGGCATCCGTTCTGGTTTTCAGGCACTCGTGAAGCAAGTTGCTCCTCAAGTTTTCGGCTATCATTGCTTGATACACCGTTACGCTTTGGCTGTGAAAACGCTTCCATCAGATTTGCTAAACACGTTGAGTGACATAGTAAAAATTGTTAATCATATTCGAGGCAGCGCTACTAACTCAAGATTATTCAAAGTTTTGTGCGATGAAGTTGGTGCTACATTTAATGCTCTTTTGTACCATACAGAGGTACGTTGGTTATCAAGAGGCAAAGTTCTAAGTAGGGTTTACGAATTACGAGAAGAAATTGGATTGTTTTTTGAAAATCAGAGAACACAAAAAGAAAAAGAATATTATGCATAAATTAAAGACCAAACATTTATTCTAAAAATGGCGTACCTTGCTGATTTTTTCACTGAAATTAATAGTCTGAATATTTCACTGCAAGGAAATGAAACGAATATTTTGACGTTGCAGGATAAAATCGCAAGTTTTTTGCGCAAATTGGAACTTTACCAACGCAGAGTTCAAGCTGGTGATGTGTCAATGTTTACACAACTAAGTGAGCAATTAGTAAATAATAAACAAGAGAAAATCTCGTTTGAAAATTCCGTGGTTCAACATTTAACTGCCGTGATAGACTCACTGCAGCAATATTTTCCGAACATGGACAGTCGTGAGTCCTACTCCTGGATTTTAAGACCATTTTCTACTTGCGTCGATATTTTCAAGGACGAAGATGTGTCAGCGAAAGTAGAGTTTCTCGGGCTGCGTGAGAATAACTCATTGAAAGTTGATTTTCAAAATGATAAACTAAGCACATTTTGGCGAAAAGCAGCTGCAGAATATCCCATTATAGCTGACAGAGCTTTAAAAATGTTGATTCCATTTGCTACAACTTACAGATGTGAAACTGGTTTCTCAACTCTTGTTACATTAAAAACAAAAGCCAGAAACCGTCTGAATGTTGAGCATGACATGAGATGCGCGTTGAGTGAAACCGAACCTAATATTGTCAAACTTGCGAATGCAAAGCAATTTCAACCTTCACACTAGTTAACTCCAAGATTTACATATTACTTTACTTTACTAGTTACCTAAACGTGCAATTTCTTAGAATTTAGTTAGATAATAAACATATTTTCGTTCGAATTTGTGTGGTTTTAATTATTTTAAATTGGCTAGGGGTAAACTCAATTCCCATACTTGTTCACAGGGGTAGTGACATTGAAAAGGTTAGGAACCACTGGTGTAGTGCCACCATATCTTTATACACCATACAGGAGTACACCAACATGCTCCTCATTTATGGGGAATGTACAGATAGATGTAGTACTATTATTATGTATCGAAGAAAGAGACTAAACCAAAACAGTGATCATCGCGTGATCATTGCGTGATCAGGATACTGATACAGGTATATTTCAAGAAAGAGAGAGAGCATAACTGTTATTGGGCAGAATAGGTCGAGCCCTTACACAGAACCAATGGCAAACCGGAGGTGGAGTGGGAAACCGTGCATGCAGCCTGGCCCAGTAGCCGTTAATGCTATATACAGGGTGAATTTGAAGTTGAGTCATTAATTTTCAGATAATGATTGTAGAAGGAAGATAAACCAAAATATGTGTGTAAAAATAAAAAAAAATTAAAAAAATTGTTTTACCTTGTTTTATAAAGTATCCTCCCGACAAGTATTTCAGTGCGGACCTGTATTTGATCGTGAGGTCCTGGAGCACCGGCATGCAGTCCCCTGTGAGGTCTTAAGTCACCTGATTCACGAGCCCGTTGTACTACATTAACAAAGGCACGAGGGGTTGGTTGCACTCGATTGGGAAACCGATCCGCATAAATATGTGCCATTTTTTATTTCGTTTGAGCCACGCAGCAAACACCACTATTCACTCACGCGTTACCGACTGACACAGACTGAATAAAAACATCGTGATCAGCGTTTCAAATTCTTTCGCTTTTTTGTTTCCGATGCGACGAACCGATAAGGCGGAGTATATCCGTTGTCGCCAAACACGAGCACATAATATTATTATTGAGACAGGGCGGTACTCAAACTTCTAAAGGGCTATAAATTTGTTACTTTAATTTTACCACAAAAATGTTAAAGGAAAAAAACATTTCTTTTGATCAGATCTACTCACTGTTAAAATAAATGACTCAACTTCGAAGTCACCCTGTATATAAAGAGAAAATAATCATGCGGAGAAATGTATATAACAAAAAATAGGCAAATAATGGGCAAGATCCGCAAAAAGAAGGAAAGTTTATTCGAGCAGAAAATAGGTTAGGTAACCCGAGCGATACGTATTCCTGCTAGTTGGCTTCATTAGGCCCGAAATGAATGCACATATGCAACTACAAAAGTAGATACACATGCTCATACATCCGGATACGGGTGTAACCTGAGGAAACAAAGATGGAGAGGGAAGAAATCACACACGAATTCTGCAACAAGAGCCAACCTACACATTGTAGTATAAAATGGCTAGAAGACCTCGAATTTTCAACACGACATCTAACCACAACCACGCGGCCGGTTATAGCCACTTGCTGTGGTACTTCAAGCCCAAAGGATCTACAAAAAGAAAATAATCATGCGAGGAAATGTCTATAACAAAAAATATTAAAATAATGGTTACACCCATATCCGGATGTATGAGCAGGTGTATCTACTCTTGTAGTTGCATATGTGCATTCATTTCGGGCCTGATGAAGCCAACCAGCAGAAATACGTATCGCTCGGGTTACCTATCCTATTTTCTGCTCGAATCCACTTTCCTTCTTTTTGCGGATTTTCCCATTATTTTCCTATTTTTTTGGTTTCTTTCTCTAAAAATAATCATTTATTTTGTTAGATTATTCCAAGACCTTTGAGGAAAATACGGACCTGTACAATCTCGCTTTGGGCATGGTGTGTTTTATCTGAGCGTAAATGGAGTACGAATGGGGGATAGCATGTTTGATCAAATCGTAAAATAATTACATAAAATAACGAGAAGGGCGCTTGGAGCGCTTTGTTTACAGTTCAATACGACTTCCGCGGTGGTTAATAATAAATTGTTTTTCGAATGAAAACTCTAACTATTCGTAACCAAATGAAGAAGATGGATTAAAATACTTTACGACAAAAAGATACGCGAGTTCTAGACTACTATGCGGGTCACGCGAATACTGATCAAAATGTCAAAAAGACGTGGGGTTCTCGATATATTTCAGGGGTTATTACTTCACTCATAAATTACATTATTATTCATTTAGTCAAAGTCAAAATCATATGCCAGCCATATTATATGTATGTGAAAGTTATTGTAATTTTTATTTCATTTTTAAGGTATATGTTAAAGAAGAGTAGGTTGACCCCCGCGAGGTAATTTGTGATATCTTATATGTTCAAAAATGTTATTTGTGACACGTTATGCAATTAAAAAATGTTTCAATATGATTATTTATAAATGGCTGTCGTACTTAAAGAACAATAAGCGAGCTCTTAACATATTCTGGATTCTTAATAAATATTCTATGGACAGTCCATTTTACGAAATGATCAATCGCTAATGACCAAATCGCTTAACGTTGACGATTCAAAGCTATGGTTTAATTTAGTTGGGCATTTTATGGAATCCGACCATTTCATGAGATGGTTGTGACATATCCATTACAAAATAACGGGTGCAAATTCGTCAGGTGTTTGTCTAGAATTCTTCTATCGGCGTATCGTTTACCGTATTAGAGTTGAAACAACTTTCGTATTTAAAGTCAGTACATATATGGAATGTCCAGATTTGTGAAAAAATCACCCGGAATAAAAAATTACTAGTTTGTATACATCTAACGTGGGCTTTACAAGCGGCATCCCTTCTGATGGTATGTTGCCAGACAAAGCTTTGAACATTTTCCAAATTTTATACTTTGACGGTTGAGGATTTACGAAAGAAAAACGTTGGGTTAACGTTTCGGCAAACATTAATTTACAAAAGTACGATGGTTAGTATAAATATAATACCTCTTATTCCCTTCAAAGTCTTCTAGTTCAACTCTCAGAGAATACTCTTCATTATTGGTTAACATGTAGATATTTTCATTGCCCAGCCAAAATTCTTTGGCTGGATCCCCAAATCCATTTTTGTAGTCATTCCAGTCTCTGTTGAAGTTCTCTCTTGGGAAGCCAAAATCATCTCGCCTTTGAATCACCTGAAACAATTAAGTTGTGTACGTAAGTTGATCTGGTTCCCATTATGAAACTACAAAACCACGACCACGTCACTGATACTCATTATTTCATGTAAAACACCGAGTTCCATAAGGCAAACACAAGTTTACTGATGAAAGTAAATAGCAAAATAACTTTTGGACTAAGTATGTATAGGTCAATTCACATATTTTGGTCTGTAGCATCTCCAGTTTTGAGATTTCCCAACCTTTCGCAGACAAATATGGAAAACGTGAGATACAAAGAAAGTACGTTGTAAGGATTTCCTTTTTCCAGTTAAAGACTACGATGTTTTGGGAAAAAGATAAATAACGTACATATAGATTACACATGCCTGATTCTACAACGGAATATGCAGTCCTGCCTTAAATACAAATATAATTTGTATGAAAGGTTTGACATGATGAATCAAGATCTGCTTTCTAATTTGTTCTATCATGTATAGGTAATTTTTTATAAGCTCCCAAAATCCTTTGTATTGTTTTGTCCAGCAGTATTCAGCTTAGATTGCTTTTGCCTATACAAAACTGATTCATACTGATAGAGACAGAACGATATAGTTTGACATCGTTTTACTTCCCACGCCACACGGCAATTGCAAAAAATTTCGAAAAAGAGATATTTGGATGTTACATAACATGTAGGTACATCACGAAAAACCATGTCACTTATTTTTGTAGGTATGTCTGCCAGCTCATCCTGGGACCGCCTACAACTTAAAAAGTACTGCTCGGATTTTGATGAAATTTTCAGACAAGGTGCCTACTATGCCTTGGACAAAAAAGCTATTAGACAAATTTTGACACCGCAGATTTCCCCGTACATTTGCACTTAAAGCTCAGAGATATATTTTCGGCAGGCAGATCGTCTATCGTTCGCATATGCCATGCGCCACGGGGTTATATATAAATTTGCATCTCTTGTATTATAGTAGGTTATCAAATATGGTTGACATGCAGTTTTACAACAAAGCTTCAGAGAAATGATGCTCCCGTTTATGGATACGTACATTACTGCTGCAATATGAGGCTTTTTGAAGCCATTGCACCACATGGAAGATTTTATTGGAAAATGCTTTGAAGGCGTGGAAGGTATAGAGTTAATATACTTGACGCCATTTCTTACATTTATTGCACGCATAGTTAGTGAAGCGACTTAGTAGGGTTTAGTTCGTTGAAGAGATGTATCTTGATTGTTTTTGTTTTATGCCAGATTTGAATTCAAAGTAAGAATGAAAATTTCATTGAAAAAATGTACTTAGTACATAGTTTTTATGAGTATATTGCTGTTTAGAAGTGGCAAATGTATGATTGTCAAGCACGATATTAAGAAAGAGAGAAAAAATATTAATTTGTGGACTAGCGTAACCATTGATATATAGTCGAAATCACGAAAAGATGACGATTACGTCATCATTTTAGTCTGTAGTAAAGACAAACGACAGCGATTTGTCTATATTTTTGATGAAGTTTTAGATACGTTAGACAGAGACAAACTTAATTTGATTGTCTAAACAAACAAACTGTATTGCTAATTTGCATGTATCCGACAAAGGTAGATGATGTGTTCATGTCGCATGATCGATCATATTTGAAAGATGAATAGTTAGGTTATGTTAAAGCAGGTTAGGTTGTTTTCGAATAATACTTTGATCTTTGGTGTTCCTTTCTAAGGGTGTATTCTACACATAACTGTTTTTTTTTTCAAAACAAAAACTTCCCACTAAAATTATGATTAAAACCATGAAATAAAATGAAAATAAAAATAATCAATGAAATAACCTAACTTCGCAAAATCATAATATAAACTCATTGTCATAATATATGTTCCTGACATCGTGATTTTATCATCGACATACATACGTCCATTGATTCCTTCAGTACAATTTATGGTATGACGTAATAGTCATCTTTCGTGATTTTGACTGTATGTTTGTAGATCAAGATTTTAGATCAATAGGGAACTATGATTAATGATTGGTAGGCTAATGGGTATCGAGTTATAATTCAAAATAATTAATATTCGACAATATTTACTGAAACCGTAGTTACATGAAAAGCTAATGATCAAGTTAGAATATAAAGAATAAAAAATTAATGGATGTATTATTTGTTATTGTTCAGACACAAGGTTAACATTAACATGGTCAATATTTTGATTTAGATCATCATGACTCATTTTTTATTCCAAAGAAGATACCTAAGCTTGATAAACGTAGAGGTAACAAATGACATTACCTACTTCCTCGTTTAGCCAAACAATCGACTGTTTTAACAGCAAATATTTTACAGAAAAATATCAACTCTTCAAAATGCAGGCACACCATACTGCGATATTTCCGGATTCGAATAAAGCCTCAGAATACAGAATATTACAGTCGTTTGCTATAGTATCAAGTATATTTCCCCTAGACAAGACTGCATTATCAGTATCAGAACAGATTTTTTATGAATGATACAGTTTATCCTTGCCTTTTTAGCGAGTGTTTACATCACCATAGGATTAGGTGTTTACCCGGGATACCAATAGAAAAAACAATAGAACATACATATATTACATATTTGACACAAAATTTTACATCTGAACCTCGGAGGGAAATTTTTGCCATTTCTCGTTCACAAATAAAAGGTTTAAACGCAAACTATTGATTTCATTAAAATATACATTTTTTTATAACATCCCATATATACGTTCATAAGAAATTCAAAGATAAGATCTGAACTAAACTACAAGTAGATTAAAAAAAAAACAAAAGACTGACTGCACCGGTTGAAACGAATAAAGTTTCAATTGGACTATCTGACGAATCAAGGGCACTTTAAATGCCAAAATCCATCAAACTAATGGGTGATTTTATGTCTTATGTCATTGTCAAACTTGTTCAGTTTGGTCTATAATTTAACCATGAATCGTCTTACGAACGAACAACGCTTGCAAATTATTGAATTTTACTATCAAAATTCATGCTCGGTTAAGAGAGTGCATCGAACACTGCTATGGGCAATTTGGTCAGCCTACAGAGGGAGCTATTCGGAAGCTTGTGACTAAATTTCGAACCCAGTTTGCATTATTGGACATTAAACCACCAACACGCAGACCTAGAATGAGGACTGAAGAAAATATTGCGGCTGTATCCGCCAGTGTTAGTGATGACCGTGAAATGTCGATTCGCCGCCGTTCGCAGCAATTGGGCCTCTGTTACACCACTATGTGGAAAATTTTGCGACAGGTTTTTTGTATAAAACCTTATAAGATACAGCTGGTGCAAGAATTGAAGCCACACGACCTCCCACAACGTTTCCAATTTGGTGAATGGGCGCTGGCAAAATTGGAGGAAGATCCACATTTTTAACGAAAAATTGTGTTCAGCGACGAAGCTCATTTCTGGTTGAATGGGTACGTTAACAAGCAAAATTGCCGCATCTGGAGTGAAGACCACCCAGAAGCAATGCAAGAGCTACCAATGCATCCCGAAAAAATCACTGTTTGGTGTGGACTATGGGCCGGTGGCGTCATCGGGCCGTACTTCTTCAAAGGCGACAATGGCCGGAAAGTAACTGAATGGCGAGCGCTACCGTGCGATGATAACAAACTTTTTTTGCCCAAAATGGAAGAGCTGGACTTGGCTAACATGTTATTTCAACAAGACGGTGACACATTTCACACGGCACACGAAACAATGGCCCTATTGAGAGGCGAGTTCCGTGAACAGTTTATCTCACGTTTGGGGCCCGTCAATTGGCCGCCTAGATCGTGTGATTTAACGCCGTTGGACTATTTCTTGTGGGGCCATGTTAAGGCTAATATCTACAGGGATAAACCAGCAACTATTGACGCACTGGAAGCCAATATTGAAGCATTTATTCGTGAGATACCGGCCGATATCTTGGAGAGAGTGTGCCTTGCGCATGGGCCATCTAAAGCGGAGCCGCGGCCAACATTTACATGAAATAATCTTTAAACATTATATCACATCGACCGTTCTATCGACTCAAATAAAGATTTAATCGTTTTTTCAAATTTTTTGTGTTTTTTTTGAAAATCAAATCCTATACCTCTTAAAAAATCACCCGTTATTTGGGCTGTAGCTTGTGAAATAGAAATTTCAAAGCTGAAATTTGCGTTTGAGATCCGCCAATAGATTTTATAAAATTTAAACACATCCAGTTCCATTCGCACTGCTAAGACGAATCTAACACCTGATATGTCAAAATCCAATCAAGTCCTTTGAGAGATAAAATTACTTTTGCCCACATACACAAGCTTGAAAAACATGTCCCTTTTTCTCAGTTGGGTAAAAAGTAATGGGAGAAATGCTACTTTTTCTTATCTTGAATGATTTTCAAAAATTCTCGAAATCTAATACTAACTGCGCTGACAAAAACTTATGCACTGAAGTTTACGGTCTGAAAAATTGATTCTTGTCATTCTGACCGAAATTTTTGTCGACCACTATTATAAAAAAATTACATGAAGTAGGTTGACTCTGCACTTCCCAAGCATCAAGTTAAGCCCTCTGAGAAAAAAGTTACGAAAATTATAACAAGTAAAAAAATAAAATAATTACAGTCAAACGAGCCTATACAGTTAGTCTATACTTCCCATATGCGATTTAGAAATTTTGTCCCTGCCCAACCGACAGTACAGTATCGACAATCTGACAACGTTGCTGAACCATACCAGTCAGTCATACCATAAGCCTTCAAGCCAGCGCCAGCGGTGACTGGTAAGCGCTTTAATGCACCAACGATCCCCAACCCCCAACTTTTAACCCCGACAAATTCAATTCCAAAAATTATCAGGAGCCTCTGAAACATTGCAAAACACATTTTGTGCAATTTTTATTTTCTCATGTATTGGATCGATCTGTAGAAACGCATTTTCGCCATTGGCATAGTAGTAACCTTCTGGTAAAATTTCATCAAAATCCGAGCAGTGCTTTCCAAGTTATCGAGGGATCAAGGATTAGCGAACAGACCGA